CCAGTATCTGCTGTCCCAGTGAGCACACGGGCTTCCCCGAAATGCTGAGGACGCACCCCGCTTCCCAGGAACTTGCGCCGCCACACACGCGCTTTGCACACCAGGCTGCTCCCAGCCGGGCGCAAGGCCACGGCCGACTGCCCGAGGAACACGACTGAGGACTCTGGCCGGTCCAGCGCCTGGGGGCCCCTTGCTGGCTTGTCCTCCGGGCGCGGCTGCTGCCCGCTGGGAGACCCCTGAGGATGCCTCGGGCCAGGCAAGCGCAGCTGGCCCCCCCCGCCCCCCGGCCCCCCGGGGCAGCTTCCCGTGCCCGCCCAGAAACGAGCAGCAAGGCCCGGGAGCTCGCGACAGATGGATTGTGGCGGGACAGACGGGCGACGCAGGGAGAGGGTGCTGTGGTCAGGGCCTCCCTAGAGGCGCCAGCGTTACTGTCCTCACGCAGGGGGAGCGGTGACCCCGCGCGGGCGCGGCCAGCCCTCTGCCCACCTTGAGGCGGGGAAGAGCGGCGCCGGGCGCTTGAAACAGTGTGGCGGGGGCGGCGTGGGCCGGCGTGGGGTGCCCTCCTCAGGGTCCTCCGGCTGGCCCCGAGGCGTTGACCCGCGAGGCTCTGCGGCCCGGCCAGCGGGCGCCGGCCATGGCCGTCGGGAGCGCGACGCCAACGTCCCACGGGAAACTCGGTACCAGACAAGCCGCGGTCTCCCAGCTCCCCATGGAGGTGCGCACAGGCCGAGCGGAAAGAACATGGAAGGTGCACACCGGGCCGTGCTCCGGGCGCGTGGCCCGCGGCCGTCATGCAGCCACGGAGGCCACCTGCACTTGCCCCTGGGAGGCCGGGCGGCAGGCGGCGCGCGGTCACTTCATTCCGCTGGAAAAGCCCGTCCCCCTGCCCTGCCCAGCCCAGGCCGCCCGGCCTGGAGGCCGCCCAGGGACAGCCCTCCCCGGTCTCGGCCTCGAGCAATTACACCCGCTGCCCATCACGGTGCCCCGCGGGCCTGCCGGTGGGAAGTCTTTAAGTGGAGACAATGCACTGACAAGCCGGCTGACCTGCGCCCTCGGGAGGCAGAGATGGGCCAGAGCTGCTGTGTTTTTGTTTTGTTTCGATGAATAAATCTTTTTGAAAAGATTTGTTTATGCACACAGAGCTGGGGTGCAGGCCAGAGGTGCGGGGCGGTGAGAGGACTCCCCAGAGACAGAGCGGGGAGCAGAACGGGCCGACTGGTGAAGCACACTGCCAAGGGGAGCAGCGGGGGCGGGGGGGCAGGGGGGTCTGCGGCGCCCTGGGGTCACCTCCGGGCAGGCGGGGATCGGACTGGGGCAGAACAGCTTTGGCTTCTCAGAGCTGTGCTCGGACCCGCTGGGCCGCCGGGGAGGGCCGGGCACTCTTTCTTTGTGACAAAGAAGGGTCTCACTACTATTTGGGGGAGCTGCCCCTGCGGCCCCTTACGTATCTGGGTGGGCGCTGAATTGTTTCGCACCCCCGAGCTCAGCGCGGCAGGGCGGGGCGGCGGTGGGCGGGAGCCGCGCGCCTCATTTTCACCTGCGCTGCGCCGCCAGCTCCCAAATTAAACAGCTCCATCAGGCCCAGCAGCGGCCCGACCCCCCGAGTTTGGGCCGGCTGCATAATTACACAGAGACGAGAATGTTGGCAGCCAGGAGACGTGAGTTTCTCCAGCTCTGCGAGGAGATTTAATGAAAGTGCCACGAGAACATTACTTAGCGTGACCGTGAGCGCCTGCAGGCCCTTCCCGCGGGCCTGGGAGCCGACTGGTTAATCAGGCCCAAGTCCCAGCCGTCCCGATGGGTCAGGGTCCAGACGGCCCTCCTGAGG